CGGCGGCGGCGGCGGCGGCAGGAAGCGGCGCTCCCGGGGCCGCCGTCCCGTGACGCGGCGGAGGCGTCAGCTGACCGCCCCCATGGGACGGGCCGCCACGGGACGGGACGGGACGGGCCGCCCGCAGCGCACGGAGGAGGGGGAAAGGGAAAAGGGAAAAAATAAAAAGGGAGGGTGATGCTTTACAGAAGCGCCGCCCTCAGAAACGAGTAAAAGCGGGGCAGAAAAATGCCTACAGCACCCAGTATTCCAAGCCGGAATGCCATCCAAGTACTAACTAGGCCCAACCCTGCTTAGCTTCCGAGATCAGACGAGATCGGGCGCTTTCAGGGTGGTTTGGCTGTAGGCAGCTGCCCTGTGTGTTTCCCTGCCTGTATGGATCACGCTGCTGCATCGTGCCCTTGACATGATGTCCTGGATCCTTCCTTGCTCCGTGCTGCATGGCAGGAGCTTCTCCTTAACACAGTAATTTTACCTGCACCACCCCACACATCCCCCCTTACCAGCCTCACAAGAACTTGTGCTTTTAACACAGCGCCACCAATACCAGGCAGATACACCAGGCTCAGCCCTCCAGCCTGATCCACAGCCTTCCTCGCTCCCCTCCAGCGCCCACAGATCAGCGAGCTCAGCACCCGGCCGCCTCCTGTCACCTCCAGGCACCAACATGTTCCCCAGCCGGGCAGCAGGATGTTGCCCTGTTGCATCCTCGCACCTCCACCTTTCCCTTGCCAAGGAGAGGGAAAAGGAGTCCCTTCATTCCCATCCTGGCACAAGAGCTACCTCTGAAAGTGGCCCAGGGCAGGGCCCATCTGGGAGCAGCACGGGAGGCCTCACCCTGCACTGCCTGGAATCTCATCTTTCCTCATCCCTGAGGCTCCTGTTTCCAGGCCCAGAGGAAACAGCCCAGCCTGTTGCTTGTTCAGATCTCACTCCAGCACACCCATGCTGCTGGCAGGGGGAAGACAACCCCAACACGGCCACTTTCTGCTTCTCGCCTGAGGCTTTGTAGGGAAATAGGCCAAAAAAAAAAAAAAAAAAAAAAAAAAAAAAAAAAAAAACAAGGCAGGAAACGAGGAAAAGTAAAATAAAAGCATCATCTCCAGTGCATGTCTGACATGATCCCACAGAGACATGACACCAGGGTTTGCCTTGTTGCCTACCTGCCTGAGCTCTTCTGGACACACAGGTCACTTGGGGGAACCCCAACACATTCCTATAAATTATCCCGAGATAAAACAATCTAAATAGTGGTAATCCGTCAGCAGTAGTTTGAGAATTTTGTGTTTAATCATTTTCCAATTCAGTGCCTTTAGATCGGTCCTGAGAAATCTTCAGATTAAATCTCCCCTCAGCTTCTTGGCGCACTTCATTCTTTCTTTGGAACACCCCTTCCTCCTTAGGAAGGCGAAGGGAAGGG